ACATATCATCAGTGTTTCTGAAAGCAATTGAGAAATTTGTAGAAGAGATCCCACCGGTGTGGCAGGCGCTGATACAACTACTGATTTTTGTGAAAACCTGGTTCAGGAGTGCTAAGGCAGAAATTGTGATGCCAACATTATTATGATCCATAAGTAAAATAAATAAAAAGGTGTTGTGTTTTTTTAATGTATTTGAATAAATTCTTTGAAGGGAAAGAAGAGCAACGTTAGGGAGAGTTTGTTTACGCACAGCTATCATTGTGCTGCTCATAGGGACCAACCCATACTGCAGGATCATCGTGATCAGGGACCAGAATCACTTTTATTTGCAGTTTCTTATATGACTTTGTTGCACAACATCCTGTGTATTACCTCATATAGCTCTGTGTGTTGGTGGTATAAGAATGGAATATAGCATTTAGATCACCTGTTTGATTGTGCATCTATTCCTTGAGGATTACTTTGGTTTACCTGATTAGTAATTTGTGCAAAATGTTCTGTCTTAAATATAGTTCATCTAACAAACCTGACACCCTCTGTGTTTGTCTGAGTGTTTTCACAGTCGTGTCTGCAACAGCCACCTTTGAACTCGAAAAACCGTCCTTGATTTAGAAAGATAAAAGCCCAGTGTCCTGAATCAGAGTCTGGGTTCTGCTTCACTTTTAAGCTTCTTCAGCCATGGGAGGAGAAGATGGGCCTACTGATGTTGCTGTTGGTTGTCATGGCTACTCGTTCTAAGAAAATGTAATGGGGTTTTGTTTTTTGTGTTTTTTGAGTGGTGATGTTTATTAGCATCAGTCCTCAGAAAGCCTCCATGTTGAACAAAACAGGTGAGATGAATAATGGAGCATCACAACAAAACACAAAGTTTTTTTTTTGTTTTTAACTTTTTTCCTTTTTATTTTCACAAATAGTACATAATTACATAACACAATACAGTGTACAATTCAAAACCAAAAAATAAACAAACAGACAAACAAACATGACATACATTCTTATATAGTTCTATACTTGTGTATTTTGTTGTACAGTTATTTTATTTTCAACTTTAATTTATATATTTTATCTTATTCTTTCCCAGTTAAATTTACCCTTCATTCTAATTTGTGTTGTACAGTTATTTCATTTTTAACCTTAATTTATATTTTATTCCTTCCTAGTTAAATTTACCCATTTTTCATATTTCCTATCTTATTCATACTTTTTTTTAGGTCACGAGCAGTTGTCCAAGCATTTCACTACATATCGTACTGTGAATTGATTTGAATTTGATTTGAATTTG